AAAAATTTATACCAATATCAAAAGTCTAATAAAAATTTCGGAAATATGATAGGTAGGTAGGTAGACCTAATAAAATTAGTGCCAGATTTTATTGGCAGAGCAATGGCTCTTCAAGCCTTCACATATCAAGAAGGCATTTTTGAAGCCCTAGCACACAATCTATTATAGTACTGAACCACATAGTACCATTTTGATATATCGAAATAATTAATTAAACAAAAGATTTTTATAAGTATTATATAATAAATTTATTATATCTATACTATATACATGGCTAGAAAAGATAAGAAAAATCGAACTTGTAATCGATGTGGATATACATGTTCAACTCCACAAATGCTTCGTGCCCATCTTAATCGAAAAAATCCATGTCGACATCGAGTTATTCCCACTACAAATCCAATTCAAGTACCTGATCCTATACCTGAAACAAACCCTATTCAAATACCTGAACCAATTTCACAAATCGACCCAGAAGCAGGACCAGGTCCATCTACTCAAGCCCATAGAGAGGGGATATTACAAAACAATCCAACAAATGATTCTGATATTGAATCAAATATTACTCAGGAGGAAATCAATTATCTTATTGCATTGGGTTTAATAGAAGAACCAGAAATCGAAGAAATCTGGCCTGAATTGGGTGGTACTCTCTTAGCAGATAAGGCAAAGAGCAAAAAATTCAGATCACAATATAGAGATTCGGGATTAGCAAGTATTACAATTAAACCACCACCAGGTGATATACTCTTTGAAGAGGCTGAAGTTGGAGATCCTGATAGACCACACTCAAGTTTATCTTCATTAACAAAATGGCAAGCAATTGTCCCATCAATAGAAAATCAAGCATATAAATTTAATATACCCATAGGTGACCCCGAAAAATATGCTGAAGCCCCATACATGCCCCATCTTATGGCATTAGCTCGAGAGCAAATTACAAGTGTACTAAAGGCTGAACTTCGACGAAAAGATCAAATAAAATCCGCAATAGTAGTATACTGTAATTATATGAAAATGGAAAAGAAAGATAAAGGAGATAAAGGTATGCTATCAATTCCAATTCCAATTTATCAGCAAAAATATCACAATGGAAGGATGCGTGCTATTCTTTCAGAAAATGATATAGATGAGCATATTACTCTTTCAGGCGGAGAAATTGATGCAAAAATAGAAGCATTTTTAAACAACGGGTCAGGATGGACACTAATCCGAATAGAAATGATGTTTATTGAGGTTTATGCATATAGAAAAGCTGTTGGAGGATCTTACAAACCAACACCAAAAAAGCTTGCTAATACTAAATGTACTATTAATCCAGATAACTCTAAAACAGGTGATGATATGTGTTTAATGCATGCATTAGATGCTTATTTTGCAAGCAAAGATGGTATAACAAAAAACTTACAACGCCTTTCTGTTATTAGTCCATATTCAAATAAAGTTAATTTGGATGGTATTCCAATGCCAACGCCGATTTGTAATCGTACATTCCAAAAAATTGAAGTCCAAAATCCAGAAATCTCAATCAATGTATGGGAATGGAAAGAGGAAACTGCTACTCCCAAACCGGTAATTGCTAGTAAAAATTTCTTTATACCTAACTCATGTAAAGTTGCAGGTTGTGAGCATCCAAGACCAAATGAATGCATGACAAAAAGACCACATATCATACATCTTATGGCTCTTACAGATGTTAATAAAGCTGAAGATACAGGTAAGTATGGACAAAGAAACCATTTTCTTTGGATTAAAAACCCGGATGCCTTAGTATTCAAAGATACGGCACATCATGGCAAAAAACATCTCTGCAATCGATGTTTTCTAAGCTGGCCATCTGAAAAATCATTGACATATCATCAGAAATGGTGTTTCGGACTAGGAGAAGCCCCACAAAAAGTTACAATGCCGGAAAAAGGTAAAAACGATATAGAAAAATTCAAAAACTACGCGAGAATGATTTACGCTCCATGTGTCATAGTCGCAGATTTCGAGGGGGATAATAAAAAGTGTGATGAGTCATACGGTGGAAATATGCGAAAATTTGCAGAACAAAAGGCTAACAGTTTCAGTTATGTAATTCACTGGATTGATACCAACGATACTTGGGGACCATTCATTTATCGTGGTCCGAATGCGACTCAGGAGTTTGTAAGAAGAATTGACCAGGAATTAGTCAGAATTAATAAAGTTTTAGCCATAAAAGCCGAACGTATAGTAACTGATGAATATCAGAGGAAATTTAGAAATGCGGATAAATGTTGGATTTGCCACAAAGAATTAAATGGAGATAAAGTCTGGGATCACTGCCACATTACCGGTAAGTTTCGAGGGGCATCACATAATGACTGTAATTTAAAACTCCAAATTACGCCATGGAAAACACCAATTCCAATAGTATTTCATAATTTCCGAGGTTACGATTCTCATCTAATCTGTGAATCAGTAGGACGTTCAGTTAACGCCAAACAAATTGATGTTATTGCGGAAACGTTTGAGCGTTATAAGTCGATGAGAGTGGGTCAATTGCGATATATCGATAGCATGCAGTTTATGAACACGTCTTTAGCAAAGCTTGCGGAAAATTTAGGTGCAGTAAAATGTAAGGACTCAAACTGCAAACATTTCCACCGGATAGATGATGATAGATGTTTCGGTACTCTCGAAAATCATAAAATTACATGTCAAATTTACAAGAATTTATCTCCAGAACAGATTGCGCTGGTATGTCGCAAAGGCGTATATCCATACGAATATATTGATTCGCATGATAGATTTAGTGAAACCGAACTTCCGCCATTCCATGAATTTCATGGCAAGCTTAATGGTAAAATTAGCCAGGAAGATTACGATTATGCGCAAAAAGTTTGGAAGGAATTCGGGTGCAAAAATTTAGGTGAGTATCATGACTTATACCTTAAAACTGACGTACTTGTACTTACAGACATCTGGACTAAATTCCGGGAGACGTCAATGAAATATTATAAACTCGATCCAAGTCATTATGTATCAGCCCCTGCCTTATCGTGGGACGCAATGCTAAAAATGACCGGCGTGGAAATCGAATTATTTACCGAGGGCTCAATGCATGATTTTACCGAAAAAGCCAAACGCGGTGGAATAGCAATGGCATGCCATCGATACTTTAAGGCGAACAATCCAAAAATGGGAAAAGATTTCGATCCATCTCAACCTACGACATGGATATCATA